CAAAAAACAAAACAAAACAACAATGACAACTGCAACAAAAAATAGCTGGGTGTTGTGGTAGGCACCTGTAGTTCCAGCTACTTGGGAGGCTGAGGTAAGAGAATTGCTTAAGCCCAAGAGTTTGAGGTTGCTGTGAGCTATGACACCACAGCACTCTACCAAGTGACATAGTGAGATGCTGTCTCAAAAACAAAAAAACAACCCTATAGGGCCGGGCATGGTGGCTCATGCCTGTAATCTAGCACTGTGGGAGGCTGAGGCAGGTGGATTGCCTGAGCTCACAGGTTCAAGACCAGCCTGAGCCAGAGCGAGATCTCATCTCTAAAAATACCTGGGTGTTATGGTGGGCACCTGTAGTTAGAGCTGCTTAGGAGCTGAGGCCAGAGAATCACTTGAGCCCAAGAGTTTGATTTTTTTTTTTTTTTTTTTTAGATACAGAGTCTCACTTTGTCAACCTCAGTAGAGTACTGTGGCGTCACAGCTCATAGCAACCTCTAGCTCTTGGGCTTAGGTGATTCCCTTGCCTCAGCCTCCCAAGTAACTGGGACTACAGGTGCCCACCATAACGCCCGGTTATTTTTTGTTGCAGTTTGGCCAGGACCGTGTTTGAACCTGCCACCCTACTCATTGAGCCACAGGTGCCGCCTGAGCCCAAGAGTTTGAGGTTGCTGTGAGATATGATGTCACAGTACTCTATTGAGGGTGACAAAGTGAGGGAGGGAGGAAGGGAGACAGGGAGGGAGAGAGGAAGACAGACCAGCCCTATAATGAGCATTCTCATGCTTGTATCTTTAGGATGGAGACCTTCTTAGGGTCAGGAGACTAAAGAGTTAAATGTTCAAAAAACTTAGGTAAGTAATCAGGCTCAGTGGCTCAAGCCTAGTACCTTGGGAGGACTCAGCAGGAGGACTGCTTAAGAACAAAAGTTCAAGACTAGCCTGAGCAAGAGCAAGACCTATCTTTACCAAAAATAGAAAAATTAGCAGGGCATGGTGGTAGGTGCCTGTAGTTCCAGATACTCAGGAAGATCACTTGAGCCCAGGAGCTCAAGGTTGCAGTAAGCTAAGATCATGCCACTATACCACTGAACTCTAGTCTGGGCAACCTCCTGTCTTGCACACAGATCAATCACACAGGCTGCACCCCAGGCAGGCCACCTGTTGTCCTGCAAACCCATTTTGCTCTGACCATGAGAACACTGCCCCAGTCCTACCCTGCTGAGAGGGAGAAAGGCAGAGATCTGCAGCCCAGTCATAGTCTGCCCTGGCACATAGTCCCTGCTTCACCATCCCCTGGGGCTGCCAGGCCTCCCAGCTGTGCGAATCAGCTCCAGGCATCCTAGCACCCTGGCCTACTCCTGCTCCTCATAACTGAAGAACATTCAACCATGGCCACCGCTGCCCCTATAAGCTCCCCCTAAACTCTCTCATCTCTTCCCTGTTTGAACCCCTATCCACATCTCCATACTCAGACCCAGTTTGGCCCCCTGTCTACTGTAAATGTCATAAGAGAGAAGCAAAGCTGCTAAAATGATCTCACAAACCCACAGGCTCATGGCGGTCAAGGCTTCTCTGCCATAGGCCCTGTGCGCAAGTGGACACTTAGCACAGCACCCAGAATGCAGCACTGGGAGTTGCCCTAGGGGATGCAGGAAGGGCTGACCCAACTCCCTTGATGCAGAGTCCTGGGATTTTGAAATGCATGGTACAAAGGACAGTGGACTAAGAGTTGGTGAAATAAGTCATTAGGGCCTTTAAATGAGGTGGCAAATTACCCCCAAGACCCCTTTTAGTGCTATGATGCTAACATACTATGGGTGGTAGACTCTCAATATAGGGGACAGATGAGACGCTGAGAATCTCCCCTCAGGAGTAGAAATTATAAGCTCTTGAGAGATGTGATGTGATTGGGGACCAAGAGAATCCCTGCAGAAGTGGAGGGGGGGAGTATCTAGCAGTTGCAGGGTCCCTGTGCTCACCGCTGCAGCACGGCGTCTGAGCTGACGGTCCGGTCCTCCAGCGAGCGGAAGGCTGGCAGCTGTACCACAAACACGTTGCCACTCTCAGTACCCAAGTAGAGCAGCTCTCGGGAGGAGTGTGGCAGGACCACAGTGATCTGTGTGGCACTGGGGGCAGCCCTACAATAGGAATGGCTACTCGTGAACTGGCTGCTGCCCAGGCAGGAGAGTCCCTGTGGAATCCCCTCAAATCCTGGCTGCCCTCAACAGGCCCAGGGAAGGCCCTGCCAAGGGAAAGAGGCCTATAAAGTCCTTTAGCAGGGTTAACACCATCTCACACAGGACAAACATTGGATGCTTTCTGCTAAGGAGACAGCTGACTAAGGCAGGTAGATTGCCTGAGCTCATGGGTTCGAGACCAGCCTGAGCAAAAGCGAGACCCCCCGTCTCTAAAAATAGCCAGGCATTGTGGTAGATGCCTGTAGTCCCAGCTACTGGGGAGGCTGAAACAAGAGGATCTCTTGAGCCCAAGAGTTTGAGGTTGCTGTGAGCTATGATGCCACAGTACTCTACCGAGGGTGACAAAGTCAGACTGTCTCAAAAACAAAACGAAACAAAAAACTGGCAGAGTGGCTGGGTTAGGAGACAGGAAGAACACCTGGGACCCCCAGTGTGATATGGTGTGAGGACGCAGAGGCAGCCCTCAGCCCACAGCCCTGTCCACTGCCCCCAGTAACCGGCGCTGCAGAAGCAATGGCCCTCCTCAAAGGTGAGCTCTCCAGAGGTTGGTAGCATGAGTCAGCCTGGGCTGGGAGAGGAAGTCCTTACCCAGGGGGACCACGCAGTGTGAAGCTCTCATCTTCCTGCAGCTCTGACACCCCACACTTGACCTTCAGGCTCCACAGGTGCAGACTGTTGTCATCTAACAGAGTTACCAACTGGCACTAGGCAGGGACAGGGGACAGGAGCATGCTGTTTTGTTAACCAGGGAAGGCAACATTCATGAAGCCTTTACCCTGGGCTGACCCAGCCCAGTTGCTCCACAGACCAAAAAACCCCTGGTTATTCTCAGGGTGGCCAGTGAACCTCCCGCTGAGGAAAGGGAGGTCGTCCCAGGCATTCCCATTAGCACCAGCCCCAGAGCTACCAAATGCCAGCCTCTCCACACCAGTCCTGCTGGTGGGAAGTGAGGGTGAAAGGGCACAGAGAAGGCTCCCTGGCTCTACTGGCATCTTCCCCAGCCCAGGCCCCTCACCTGGCCAGGCAGGAAGTGGATCTGTGTTACAGCGTTGTTCTCCTGGTGTAGTCCCATGAACTCCACCCCTGGGGCTCCGTAGCTAGGAACAGGTTCAGGAAAAGCTCTGGAGGGTGGACACTGTACCTTACCCACCCTGAGCGCCAGGCCCTCTGGGTCTATGTGGAGAGGAGTGCAAGCAGAGGGGCCTGCCTTTCCCCTAGAGCAGGACCCATGTCCAGGGGCCTGAACTAGAGAGGAGACAGCAGGCCCAGGCCACATGGACAATGACCTGACCTGACCTGCAGGGTAATTCTTTCAGCCAGGCAGGTGGGGAGCAGCTCCATAAAGGGTAAAGCCCTATCCTGGCAACTGTTAGGCTGCCTCAGCCCCACCCCTAACCTTAGCTGCAACAGAACCTTTGGCTATCACTTGGTGGCACCGTGGTCCCACCCCCAGCGGCCTTGGCACCAGGGATCTCCAAGGATCTGGCCATGGCCTGGCAATGATTAACCAGCTGAGGAAAGGTTGAGCTGCCAGCACAGGCCCCTGCCTTCCTGTGTGTACACCTGCTGGCCTCTTCTACATGAGGCAGCAGACAGGAACAGGAAGGGGTTAGGGCTTTGTGGGAGGAGGTGCCAGCTGAGTTATCTCAGGTGGTCCCCCATCTCCCAACTCTCTAGTGCCCTCCTCTTGGGGAAAGTGTCCAAGGCTTGCCACCCCTGTAACCACCTGGGGCCCTGAATCAGCCCAGATAGAATGCTTTAAAGAAGGACCCAGGCTCGGTGCCTGTAGCACAGTGGTTACAGTGCCAGCCACACACTGAAGTTGGCGGGTTTGAATCTGGTCCAGGCCAGCTGAACAACAATGACAATTGCAACAAAAAATAGCCAGGCATTGTGGCAGGCACCGGTAGTCCCAGTTATTTGGGAGGCTGAGGCAGGAGAATTGCTTGAGCCCAAGAGTTTGAGGTTGCTGTGAACTGTAATGCCATGGCACTCTACCAAGGGCAACAACATAGTGAGACTCTGTCTCAAAAAAGAAAGAAAATAAGGAGAACTCAATAGGACAGCGTCCAGCCTCAGGCCAGGGAAGGAGCACTGCTGGCAAGCAGGTGTGTGCGCTGTTCTCTGGTGAGTGCGGATAGAACCTGGAAGAACAGCTGCCTGAGCGCTGTCCTCCCCACCCAAGGCTACCTCACCTCTGCTGTACAGAGCCCTGGGGTCAGTCTATTTCTAACTCCTATAGAGGAAAAAATAAAATGTCCTTGGCTGTCACCTGCCTCCACTCATTGTATTTGGGGTTGACTCCTGAGAGGATGCTAGAATACCCCCAGGGATGAGAGTGGTCACCTGACCCAGTGCAGTAGCTCACACCTATAATCCCAGAACTGTGGGAGGCTGAGTAAGAATTGTTTAAGCTCAGGAGTTTGAGACTTGCCTGAGTGAGAGTGAGACCCCCAACTCATAAAACTAAAAAACCCAGCTGGGCACCATGGTGAGGGCCTATAATCCCAGTGGCTTCCAGAGGCTGAGGCAATAGGATGCCCACAGCCTAAATTTGGGGTTGCAATGAGCTATGACGCCATTGCACTCTGCTCAGGGCATAGGATGGGACTCTGTCTCAACAACAAAAGCAAGGAAATAAAAAGAAAAAAAAATTTAAAAAAGAAAATAAAAACTAACAATAAAAAAGGAGCGGTTGGCTCGGTGCCTGTGGCTCAAGTGGCTAAGGTGCCAGCCACATACACCTGAGCTGACGGGTTCGAATCCAGCCTGGGCCTGCCAAACAACAAC